AAGGAAAGAGGGAAAGGAAGGAATTAAGGGTGATTCTAGGTTTGGGGCTTGAGCAATTTGATAGATGATGGTGCCATTGATGGAAATGGGGAAGAATAAGTTTGGAAAGAGAACTCAAGACCTGGCTGGTGACTCCGATGGAATTTAAATGTTCTTGGGCCTTGTTTGTGGCTTGAGCAGAACTGAGAACTTTCTCAGTTTTCAAGAGCTGCAAGGGATTTCTCTGGGCTTCAGGCAAGGTGACACCTTATGTTCAAACAGATGTGGTGCCTTCCCCAAGGATGATCTCAGTGACGGTATCTCACACCTGCCTCCTCCATGCATGACACCCTCCAACGAGTGGTTCCAGCTAGCTAACCCAAATTCCTCTTGCCACTACCTGATGTCTGTCCTCATTTCCCTATCTTCAACTAAGTTGTTGGTGGCTTCTCGTATTCTGTTTATCTGCTCACTAAAAGTCACAGGAAGCACAAGTCAGGCAATGTTTTATGATATGTGATCTGTCTAGTCCAGAGCTTGTTGCAGACAAGGGCATGGGACCAGATTTTGGGAGATTATGAGAGTTGCTCCCCATCCTACCACCCTTCACGTTCCAAGTCCCTCAACCCATTTTGGGATCTAGCATCCTGCTTCAGCCACTTCTTTCTTGACCTGACTTCTATTTCCAGCCTGTACCATATCTTGGGTCACCAGTTCTATTTTTTGATTGCCCCTTATTTTTTTTACTTAATGGCTGGAAATGATAAGATCCCCTTATTTGTTACTCTCAAACCACCAACAAGGTCATGCTGCTCTTAGTAACCATGGTTGCTATTTATTAAACACTTACTAGGGAAACATGCACCCTGTCAAGCACTTCCCATGCATGATCTCATGTAAGAACACTATGAGGTAGGTACTAGTATTCCACTTTACAAATGAGACTTGGAAAGCTTTGGTGAGTTGCCTGATGTCACCAGCTAATGAGAGGTGGGGGCTGGATGAGACCCCAGGCGTCAGTCTCCACTACCAATGCCATGCTCTGGAGGAAGGAAGGGCAAAGTGTTGTGGCCTTTTGGAGGTTGAACATTCACCTTCCTATGGTGGCTAGCCAGGTGTGCCTGTGACTGGGGTGGGTGCGGCAAGTAAGGAGGGGATAGAGTCTCTGTTTTTGAAGCACTGGGCACTGGGGGCCAGGGTGGATTAGTAACTGCTGCTACATCCACTCCAGGAGCAAGGAACCCACATCTGCTTCTGTGGGATTGACAGCGTGGACAAAGGAAGCTCTGTAGACACCCAGCTCTAAGGGTGATTTGAAAAAGCTCGGAGGAGCAGAGAGGTTGTCCCAAGTCAGAATGTGAAAATATTCCTACTTTATAACAACAAATAACAGGAGGATTTGAAGGCCTCAGTCTCCTCAACAAAGGCCAGGTCTCTGAGTCTGAAAGGGGGCACGCCCACAGGCAGCTGACAGGGTTTCTGCGTGATCCCATCCTTCCTACGGCTGAGGGAGACTCAGCTCCACACCTGCCCCATCCAGCAATATCTCACCCCTGCCTGGGCCAGGCCTGAACATCTTGACTCAGGTCCAGTCCTGAAATATCCCCATCATTAAGCAAAGGTTGGAAGAGGTCTGGCCTACGTCTGTTTTTTAAAGCTCCAAGTAATATAGAAAAAAAAAAGAAAGAAAAGAAAAATACAAAACAGGGTGACTAAAATTGGTTTATATTTTTCAATGTTTAAATTAGCAAAATAACACCTTTTAATATAAAAACCAATATAATTGTGCTAGTCACAATATCACCGTAGGGTTTATAAACTCATCACAATTCAGAGGATGCTGGAGTTAATGTGACCTAGTCCATGTTTCCCTGGGGCTGCAAAGCTCATTTGGAGAGAGAGAGCCTTGCTAGCTTCTGAGGCCCATTGTGGAGCCCCAGAATGTGCAACTCAAGCCGAATGGAGCCTCCTGGGCTCCCTGTGACAGTCACTGCCCAGAGAAAGGGAGAAGTCCTGCTATTTTCAGTCAAGACTCCCACCGGCCAACTCCCCCCGCCCCCTTTACTATAAAATAAAGCTTTCAGATCAACATCAGCTGGATAGGGCAGCATGCATTATGGGAGGACCCAAATGCCTGAGCCATTATATGTGTAGTATTTCATGGCTCTTGAACTGCCCTGGGATGGTGTAAGCATTATTCAACCTGCTGTATACCAGTTAAAGTATTTCTCCAAGGTCACATAGCAAATCCAGGACCAGAACCCAGAACCTTTGACTGTAAAGCCTGTGCTCTTTCCAGTCTTCACATCTGGTCATGTCATGAAGCCACATGAAGCCCAGGAAGGGCCCGGTGAGGCAGGGAGGGGACTGGGGCAGCCCCTGTCCTTCATGCCCCTGTGGTGTTGGGGCAAACTTTGACCTTTCTGGACTTTTTCACTGTTTCCTTCTCTTCCTGTTTCTTCTCCTGGCTGGCTTGCCTCCCTCCCCCTCTACTCCTTGCTTATGATACTTATTTTTCCATCCACAGCAAAACAATTCCCATCAAGTTAATTGATGGTGAGGCGTATGAGAAAAACAAGAATTACTTCATTGAGATGATGGGCCCCCGCATGGTGGATATGAGTTTTCAGAAAGGTGTAGTACCCTGTCCTCCACACTAACATTAACATTCTTCTCTCCTCTTCTGTTTCTTTCTTTCTCCAATCTGTTTGTCTCCTCTTCCCCTTTCTTCTACCTCTCTGGTTACCTTTCCCTTGTTTCCTTTCTTGTTCTCTTTTCCTCTCTCCCTCTTCTCTCTTTGCTTCCAGCTGTGTCCTAACATCTGCCAGCCTGTCACATGGTATCTGTAAGAGGGATGCTCAAGAGCCAGTGGTAATTTTTGTAAGATGGGTAAATGGATATTGGGAAAAACAGAGAGAGAGAGAGAGAGAGAGAGAGAGAGAGCCAGCCATAGCCCTGAGAGTATGTGTATGAGGCTCCCTAATTCTCCTAAATGGCATAATATACAGGAAAGAAAAAGACCAGATAGCACAGCGCCAGGCAGGACAGCAGCCCTTGGAAATTCGCCAAGGCTCTCAGCACGAATTTTCATGGGGCCGCTATTCTCAGGGCTGAGCTTATAGTCCCTGGGCATTGAGAATCACTGTATTTAGATTTAGATTCTGTTTGTGGTTCTTCCCATTCCCCAGTGCAGGCCTTGGGAGCTATCTTCTCTGTTATATTCCCTACTCTCAAGGTGTGTTTCTCTCCCTGGCCTTGACAGAGCTGAAAGCACAGGTTTGAGTTCCAGGTCTAGGTCAAAGACCTATTTGCAGTTCTCTGTTCTCCCTATGAGGAGCATCTAGATAATGAGGCAGAGAGTTACAAGAGTGGGAAAGAGGATTCTGACCTGAGTGGAAGCTTCACCAAGAAGTCAAAGGACTTCTCAGAGTGGATGGAGCTTTTGTCTCCAACTTAAATGACCCATACACTCCAGGCCTCTAAGAGGGAAGCCGGAAAATCCTCTTCTGGATAGATAACACTGTGGCGGGGGAGCTGCCGGTATTTTCAGCAATACACCTTCCCTGGCAGAACTGTCAATCATATCTCTTCAGGCCATGCCCATGGTCACACAGCAGCCCGCTCCCATCACACAGCCGAGTCCCTGCAGTGGGACAATAGGCTGGGCTCACATCTCGTGGACAGCCCAGGGTCTGGGGCCTAGGGAGAAGTTCCCAGAAAATGCTTCTTGACGATCAGTGAGTTTTGTCTTTTCCACTAAGCAAGGTGTCCAAAAAAGTGCTAGAAAGGTGACCAAAAAGTGTACTCACAAAACACACACACACACACACACACACACACACACACACACACACACACACACCAGCAAGTCCTGTGCCTAACAAACCAACTCAGATCAGCCTACCTTTTCATACAAAGCAAAGATGAGCCTGTCTTTAAAATGGAGGAGGAACCTCAGAGGCTCTGATTAGACATTTTAGGCTATTGTTTATTAGCACTTCTTTGCCCTTTAGAAAGCATTTAAGTCCAGAGAGAGAGAGAGAGAAAAAAAATCATGGCTCACTGTTGAGATCCACCCGGTTCCATGGAGGAGCTACACAGGGAGATCCAAGGGCCTGTGCCAGTCTCATGCCAGTCTTCAGGGGGGGAGCTATTTTCAAGAAAACTTTGATTCTCTGATGATTTGTTTTTAAAAGACACAGTGTGATGTTGAGATGCCCAGAAATGAACATTGTCCCTTGGATCCTTGGGATTTAAAATGTGATGATTTACATCATTTTCTTCACGCTTTCCCAAGAATGCATCAGGTGTAAATAGTAAAGGAGTCCTATATCAGATAGTATTAAAACATCTTACGTTAGTTTCCACCATGGAAGCCCTGTGAGATAAAGAATGAGATCATAGGATTGCACCCTCCATGCTTTCTCTCTCTCTCTCTCTCTCATTTCCCTTCCTTATACTTTCCTAATAAAATTTTCTTTATGAGGCTCACATAAGAAGTGGGTATATACACAACGAATGGAAATAAATTCCTAGCTGGGTACTGTTGACATATTTCCTGTAGTAGAAGGCTACTGGGTCATACCCAGTAGTTCACCTGCTGCCCAAAGAAATGCCACTTACCATGTGACACCCAGTGGAATGTGCTGCCCAACTCACTTCCTACTAACCATCAGCAGGATCTGAAATGACTCCTCCCCACCATCAACTCCTTCTCCCTTACCACTCCCTTGCTGTCCTTCTGGATCCCTTTCATCCCTTTGCCCTCTTTTCTTTGCCTCCTGGCTCCCTTTCCCTCTCATCCATAAGGACAGTTATGACCAAGAAGACAAAAAAAGCTAAGACCATTTTTTAAACTATCAGAACAATACAATCCACCTTAGTCTTGTCAAAGCCACCATGGCGGGACTGGGCTGCATGTGCCAAGAATGATGGGGGATGATTTTAAAGGCTGTGCTCCAAGTGACCAACCAATTTGCTGACCCATTCGACACACACTCTCTTTCTTGTTGTCCCTACAGGAAAACCGTAAGGGTTAAAATAGTAGATGAGGAGGAATACGAAAGGCAAGAGAATTTCTTCATTGCCCTTGGTGAACCGAAAAGGATGGAACGTGGAATATCAGGTGTGAGATTCTTTAAAAAAAATTAATAACTAAGACAACAAAAAGAAAATTTTTTTAAACAAACTGAAAAGCAACAACAAAAAAAGCAACTATATTTTTTCTCCCTGTTTTTTGTCCCTTTTCCTCCTTCCTCCTTTTGACCAACATACTTTTTTTATTCTTTTCCCTCCTGTATTCTCGCTCTCACCCTGTTTCGGTATCATCTCTGCCTTCTCAGCCTTAGCTTATTTCCAAGTCCTCCTTTCCCACCTTTTGGGCAGCACTGCAGCCTCGGCTCCTCATTACCCTCATGAGTTACTTCCGCCTTGTGCTCCAATGATCTGATTACCACTGTCCTCTGCACTCTCCCCTGCAGCACCTCCCCCCTACACACAATAATCTGTAAATGTGGGGATTCCTTGGTGGGTGGGGAGGAGAAGAAAAAGAAAGGAATGTGATGCAATGCATGCTGGTGCCCCTTCCCTGCCTTCTTCCCCTCCCACCCCTCACTCTCTAGCCTGGATTGAATCGGGGAGGGGCTGATGGGGGGCTGGGGCCCATGTTGCAATGATGCTTTGACCGTTTTCTGCTGCGTTCCCCAACCTCCGTTGAATGCTTGGCAGGTTATTCACTTGCAGAGTGTCCCATAGGCCCCTCTGCCCTTCATGGAGGTAAGTGTTTTATCTGGCTATTTCACAGTTGGGTAGACAGTGGCATGAAAAGGTATGCCATTTGTCAGAGGTCACAGCTTCTGAGAACTCTTTGAGAGAGAGCTGGCTTCTGAGGTTGTCATGTAATCTGCAATCCTGAGCTATTCTTCCCCCCTTGGCATCCCACCCCATCCCATTCTACCTCTGTTCCTAGTCCAAGGTGGGGTACTTGATTCAGGCTACTTTAGGATAAGGCAATCCTTAAAGCAGAAAATTGAGAGTCTGCAAAGGGAAGGAAGTCTCCTTAGCCCTGGAGAAGGACTGATAATGGGCAGGCCTAGAGTATTGACTTTTCCAATTGGAGAAGGGACTCTAAATGGTGTAGCTGGTGCTGATCCTTAAGAAACGGGTGCTGAATGGTTCACAGAAGGCTGCCTTTGCTTCATATCTGCAAATGAGCATATCATGCAGCTCCCAAGATAACCTGGATCCCACACCAGAGCAGTGGCCTCATCTCCTTTCTTCTGGACACGCTGCCTCTTAGAATACCTGCCAGGGTTCCATTTCTAAGGGACTGGTTATGTTGCAGCCAAGGTAGAGGTAAGGAAAGATTTCTTCCCTTGAAGAAAATGATTGGAAGCCACTACTTTGAAAGTGTTGGAGGAATATGTATGGGAATGGGTAAGGGTGCTCTTGGGAAATACCAAGAGGAGGACATTCTCACTCCCCTCCAAGAGACATATGCTGCTGGGAGTCTTGTGGAAGATTAAACAGACCCACCTGTTTGTCAGAAGGTGTGATGATTCTGCAATTACTTCATATTTGCAAGGACGGATCTAAGTGATTTGGCAACTATACTTCCAAAGAACTATATTTCACTGACAGGTCTTCTTCTCAGACCCATAGGCTTGATCAGTTCTCATTATCTCCTGTGGACTCACTCTGCAGACTGGACCACTTCTATGCCCACACTGGTTTGGACACACCTGGTGTTCTAGAAGCAGAAGCCCTCTCCATCTTCTATTACTCATTCTCTCCTTGGCCACTCAATAAGATGCTGCCATGAGCCTGACTGCCAAAGAGTGCTGGAAGAAAGAATGAAAAAAATCTCTGGCTCCATTGTTTCCCACATTGTATTCCTGCCAATCCTCCAATTTCTGCCACTGAGAATATTCTCAGAAATTGCCTCAACACCTGCCCTACCTCATTCGCACCTCCCTTGTGCATTTACTCCACATTCTCATGATTGGCTGGATGCAGCAGTCACTAGCTTCATCAGTTTTCAAGTCCCAAGAACTTAGGTGTAAATGAAAGCAGCAAAAGGACCATATCTTTCCAGGGTAACTGGAAAGAAGGCAGGGGCTCCGAACAAGACGAATAGGTTAGAAGTCTGTCCATGACTTTATTCCACCAGTAAAGAGGCTCTTCTTTTCTGCCTCCCCAATAAATTCCTACCAGCAGCAGGACAGACAGTGACCTAAGATAAACCTTGTTCAAACACAGACACCCGTGGATTCTCTACATTTGAGGACCTCTTTGTGCCGCACTAGATTCTCTGTCCAAGGAGATATCAGTAAATCCCTGGTGGAGCCTAGTCCTGGAGGAGGGCATAGGTAAGAAGACAAAGATTTCATCAAGTCGTCTGTGTGATATGCCCCAGTTCTTCCCAATGACCAAGATGCCAAGATGAAAGGTGCCAATAGGAAAGATGTCCCTTTCCTAGCCTCCTGTTCTGTTGTCTACCAGTATGGGGTTAATTTTTGGTTTCTTCAGTTCTTTCCATATTTTGGCATCAGACCATAAGGTGAAAGGTCATAAAGCTTGAATATCTAGACTCGGAATCAAATGAAAATCTATCCTGATTTCTAGAATTCCCTGCTGTTGTTGGAGTGAGAAATAGTACAGTGGAGATTGCTCTTCTTTATCACTGCTGCATGGGAGAGTCTTAGGCATTCAGAATAGCATAGTCTCTGCATGGTCAAAATGACAATTGCATTCTCAAAAAAGAAAAGTAAAGGACTGGATTTGAAATAGGAGATTGTATTCTTGGCAAACAAACCAGAGGCGAGATTAAACGTTTTGGACAAGCTGGGGGAGGAGAAAAGGGAGGATGACTAGGAAACACCGTTGCCCTGGAGTGTAGAGTAAGTATTGGGGTCTAGAGTGGACTTCTGAGAGCAATGCTGAGTAGCACAGTCAAGGGTGTTGGGCCTGGGCCTGGGCCTGGACATGGGAAGTCTCAGTTGGGAAGGGAAAGCACTTTCCCCCACAAAATGGGTCCTGTTTGTGCCTCCTCTTAATACACTCATGGGTTCCCTGCGACAAGCTGCCCAGATGCTTCCAGTTGCTCGCAAAGCTGTGTTGTTTCCTGCTTGCCCCTGGGGTAGCTGAGCAGGGGGATAGAGGACGCTCATCTCACCCCAGGAATCAATGTAGGTAAAGGTTTAGCTTCAGCATCTCTCAGCAGCAGCAGCAGGAAAAACGCCCAGAGGGTATTGTGTCACTCAAAGCTGGATGAGATGGAACTCACTGACCCATCTTTAACTGCTAGGTGGAAGGTCTCAGATTCATGTTGAGAATGAGCAGAGAATGATGGAATTGCAGCTGACTGCAAGCCATCTGGCTGTGCTAGGGATGATCCTGGTGTTGGGAGGCATGTCAGACTGAAAAAGAGGGCAGCAGGGACCTTTAATAAGAGTTGCTCCTTGTCTGACCTACCGGGGTGCTTGGGTCTCTGGTCTCCACTGGAAATGGGGCCCAGGAGGGGCTCTTTCATGCAGATTTATAAAAAGAGCAGAATGAATCTATCTATCTATCTATCTATCTATCTATCTATCTATCTATCTATCATCTATCATCTCATTGTAGTAAGGAGATCCATTGATCCATTACCCCTTGGAATTCCATATGGGAGAAACCAGAAAAAGTCAATTGATGTTCTCCCTGAATTTATACCATAAATATCCTGGATCCACATGTGTCTTCAGGGACTGTGACTATGGGATGATGGGTCACAGATCTGAGTTGTATTTCTAGAGAACTTTGGAACACGAAGGCCACCATCCAGAGATGTAGCACCACAGGATTTATGAAAAATATAATTGCCAAAGCATTTAGCAAATAGCAAACCTTTATTGAACAACTACTAGTTGCAGTGACCACCAGGCACAGGCGATCCAAAAATGGTAGGAGTGCAAGGCCTTGACTTCCAGGCTACATCTATTTTAAAAACACACACACTCAAGGAAAATGTTCTACAGGTCTTTCTTTCAGGGGAATTCAAAGTTCTGGTAAACACAGTAGCTATGAAGCCATCTGTGGCCCTGGAAATGTAATGAGCACTGGGAGGCTGAGCATGATCTAATTATGAGGTTAGGGATAGAAGACAAAATGGGGCACGGTTCCACTGTAGTACAACATTACTCAATGCCCTGAGCTCCTATTCAAGCCCCAGAGTCATATTCTCCACAGATGAGCCAGCTACTCTGGCATGCTGGATTCTCACTCCTTTCCAGAATGGATGTGATAACCTGATTCCTTAGGAGATCACGAATGGCCAACCATGTCTCTACTTCACCCACTTGGTCCCCCATCCTCACTCCTCTAGCCCTTGACCCTCAGAGCTGCAGAGAAGGTGTGGGTAAACCTGTCATAACTGCAGGGCTCTGGTGCTCAGCAGTCTCTCCAGCGGCTCCCACCTCTTACTGCTGCTGCTGCTGCTGCTGCTGCTGCGCATGCTCCAAGTGCTGCCTTTCGCATGTGGCTGCAGAGCTCTCACCTACTGAGCTCACTGCTTTTTCTGCTGCTGCAACCACAAAGCCTGGGGACACTTTCAAGATGGGACCTTAATGCTCTTTCCTTTTCTTTCTCCCCTTGTCTGGTATCCATTTGCAAACAGCGCTCCTGTTGTCTCCAGGTAAGAGGTGCCTTGCCTCCCTCTCCTTTCTACTTCTTGCCAATGCCGTTATTCAGGTTAAGACTAATGTCCTGTGGTTTACTTAACAGGAACTATAAGCTCAAGTTGACCTGACAAGGTTTTCCTAAAAGCCACGAAATTTATTTCCTCACTTGAAGTAATTGAAAGGAAATAGACAATGTCATGAGCACCGTTTCTGTTGGTGTTCGTGGGCAAAGGCATAGGCTGGTCCTTTCTGGGACCAGGAAGGGATGGTGGATCATCGGCTTCTCCCGAGTCTTCATTTATCTGTCATCTCAGACTGTGAGGCAAGAGAGGAGATGAGAAGTTAGAGCTGAATCTCCCAATAGGATCACGATGGCATTTGAAAGAAAATACTTTGCTCTTGAGCAATCCAGGGGAAAAGAATCAGGAGCTGCTGTGAGACCGTGAAAAGCAATTTTTTAAGAATCTGGAATTTTACTGATCCTGGAGATCTTCCATGTTAGCACAGCTGAGGTTTAAGTTGCTAGAACTTTGATTTATTTGTCACCGATACTTGAAGTCAAATGTGCTGTGCATAGCAAGGAGAATTAAGATATAATGGAGGGTGGGGATAATTATCTGGCTGGAAATAGAAGTTTCAGAGATTGTCTTTTAGAGGGATTCTCATGCAGAATCTCGAGCCTGTCGTAGGACGTACACCTACTTGGACAGTGTGCTTGCATCAGTGGGGTCCAATGGTAAACAGCTAGCTGTGAGCAGATAGGAAAGCGTGTCCATCTCATCCAGCGACACCATAGCTCAGTGATGGCGAACCTTTTGAGCTCGGCGTGTCAGCATTTTGAAAAACCCTAACTTAACTCTGGTGCCATGTGACATATAGAAATTTTTTGATATTTGCAACCATAGTTAAACAAAGACTTATATTTTTGATATTTATTTTATATATTTAAATGCCATTTAACAAAGAAAAATCAACCAAAAAAATGAGTTCACGTGTCACCTCTGACACGTGTGTCATAGCTTCGCCATCACTGCCATAGCTTGTGGTGCAGGCGAAGTGAGCACTATGAGATGGCTCAATATATTTTGAAAGAACATTTTACATTTTATAAGTTCTTTGAACATACGAAAAATTCAGGTCATTTAAGAGGCAAAGCATCTTATAGAATTCATTGGTGTTCAAAGCCACCGATTCGCTACTCCCCGGGTTTCAGAAAGGGGAAGTGTACATAGTAAGGACATTTGCCTCTTTGGAACCATAAACAAAAAATGTAGGCAAACCCCTGCATTTTCAGTTCCTGAAAAAACAATGACTCCAGCATCCTTGGCCTCTTGTTCCTTCTTCATACCAATAGGATAAGAACTATTTCCAACCCCATATTTTCCACTAGTCTCCCAGGGTATTGATGTCTAGCACTGGGTGTTCCTTTTCCACTTCACTCATCCTCTTGCCTGAGAAGGTATTTGGGCTTCTTTGTTCTAACTTTTGCCTCCACCTCCCACCAACCATACGTAAAAAAGACTATGATTTAACTTAAGCTTCTTTATACTTTTAGCATATTTGCACAAACATGAATAGAAGCTTAAAAAGGAAAAGAAGGTGTTACAGTATTTCCTAGATCTTTCAATCCAAACCTGCTAGACCTGTAATTTAGGAGCCTTTGCTTAGACTTTATATTCACTGGAAATTTTAAATCTTTGTTTGAATTTTTCTGAAAGGACAGGCAAGCATGACTAACAATGCCTGGTGGTGAAAGATGGAGAGTAAATACGTTCATTCTGAGCTACTGCACCAAGTGCAGGGACCTGGGAGTGAGAGCACGGGTGGCATCGCCCCACTTCTTCCCGAGGATGTCTATAGAGCATCCCTGACAATTTATTCCTGTCAGGCCTGGCAAGCTCTTTGTTCTTCCAATATTTGCTCAATTTTTCATCCTACTCTCTCTACCTCCCTCCCTCTTTCTCTCTGCCTCTCTCTTCCCCCTCCTCCTTTTTCTAGATTTGAGAGTTTATTTAGTCAGTCTGAATATCAACATCACTTGCCATTTATTCTCTTTACTTGAAATTCTGAAGAGTCACATAAACAAGTGATCAGAATCACTATGGTCTTTTAGGTTTGAGATTTATTACTCCAGAAATTAATTTGAACTTAAGGAATGATTATTATAAAAATATAAAAAGGGAGGAATTATTATAAAACCAAGACACTAAGTAAGAGTTGATTTAAATGGAAGATATATATATATATATATATAATCTGTGGCTGAGGGAGATCCAAAGATAGAGGGTTGGTTATTTGTCAAAGACATTTCTGCAGAAAAGCTAGATGGAAAAACTGACTGTCACCACAGGGTGGACAGGTCAGTAGGTTGATCAATATCCTGCCAGGTGGATATAATGCTAGATTGATTGCTAGACATGGGGTTAGACAGGTACATTTATATGTCACTGGGGAGCTCATTATATTGGTATATAGTTCTTGTGGCACATGTAAAGTATGACATGGGGGGATTGGGGAGGGGGTGGTGGAATAATACTGTCGCTGCTAGAATAGTCATTGTTATGTGGTGCCAAAACCCACAGGTAGAGGAAAAGAGTACCCATGCTTTTAAGGAATCTATGTCTTTTTCCGAAGGCTTTTTCTCAGAATGGCTTCCAGTCTGGCTTCTAGGATTGCTAATTTTATAACCATAACCCTGGATGTACCCAGAATTACCTTCAGAATTAACTAAGGAGAGACTCATAATTAAATAATTAAAAGAAGCCAGGCTGCTAGAAGGTGTCTGCTGACTTAGAAGTATACAGAGGAACACAGAACCTGGAGAAATAATTATTGCCGAAAGCCATCACTAGCACTAACATTAGGACAGCACCACGGACAGCTCCCAAGCATTTTGGAATTGCCTTCTGTGTTTGGTGCCAGAGCCTTGGGTGAAACAGCCAGCTCAGGAATCCTCTGTGCACTCTCTTACCATCTTCATTCAGGCCGACTGAGAAAATCCATACATAAAATGGGCTCTCTGCTCGGTAACTTAGACCCTTGGCTTAGAGTCCACTCAGTGAATTTCCTTGCAACCTCAAGAGCTTGAGTCTGACCCCACCCCACCTCTCACCAGTTCCCAAGACAGAGAAGAAGATCTTCTTGGCCTCTGACCCATTTTATCCTTGAGATTATCCAAAGACCAGAGGATTTCCCTAGGATACTCACTGTGTGGAGCGAAAGCCATTAAGGAACGGAACCAAAGAAGTAATTGCATGCAAGAATGTGGACTTGGATGGGAGAATGTTTAAATAAGCTCTGAAAGAAACAGGCTGCCAAGACCAATTACCTAATAAAAGGGGAATAAAAAGATTCCGTCTCTATTTCACTGCAATCCAGAACACAGGTCTTCGCGGTGAAAGGGTCTTAAAATGGACTCCCAGCTGAAGTGGAAAAAATTTCTAACTGTTCCACGTGAGGAGGGACCACTGGTAAATGAGTCAAGATGCTGCAGGACAAAGGAATGCCTTCAGAGAAAGTAAAGGAAGATCTCTCTTTTGTTGTGTTTTTTTTAAACAAATATTTGTGTTCCAAAAGAAACATGCCTGCTTCCTGTTGGAAAATCATGACGTTTTTGGGGGAAATCTTTCAAGTTTCTCATTGTGAGGATAATATCCATTTGTATGAAATGTAGATATTCCTGGAAACAGCCCCGATTTCTCCTTTATAAAGAGGACAGTGCCAAGAGTGCCGGAAGCTGATGTTACTATGAACCAGTGGACATTACCCTTGGATTAAATGTGCCTCTGACCTCCAAGAACTCTTACATGGAGTAGCTGAACAGTCAGGCACAACAGTTCAAAATTGTTAAAGATCCAGAGATAAGTTCCCATCTCTCCAATATCTCACCAAATAACTTAGGGACTGACTTCCCTTGGAGGAATTTCTCAGAAGGTCAGGTTGCTCGCTGAGGTATAAAATGGAAAGAAGGATGCTTATGCCAGGCCTGCAAGGAAGCCTTTGATGGTCTGGTGGTCATAGAGTGTCCAGTGCTTTATAGAAAGAGGCACCCCAAAGTACACAGAATCCCCATTCCCAAGAGCTACGTGCTTTCTGCACCCTGCCCAGGCCTACTACTCTTGAGCCCTAGATGTTTAGGGGAATGGAGAGCGTGCTAAAGCTGGTCTGGTTTTGTTTTGTTGCAGAGGTGTCAGACAGGAAGCTGACTGTGGAGGAAGAGGAAGCCAAGAGGATAGCAGAAATGGGAAAGCCAGTATTGGGTAAACACCCCAAACTAGAGGTCATCATTGAAGAGTCCTATGAGTTCAAGGTCAGGCCATAAGTGAAGTCGAATTGAGTAATGGACCGGTGGGAGGGAGATGACCCAGAGTTTTGATCCCGTTTTACCACTGAATTTGTGAACTTGTAGTGCTGACCATTTTGTATCCAAGGACTATTGTGAGGACACACAACATAGCATATGGAATAAACGGGCTCTAAAGCTTCTAGATGTGTCATTGCTATGGCTTAACTGTATTTTTAAAACAAAGATACTAAAATTTACTACTCCAGAGCAAGGTTTATTGATATTATCACTGTTGTTCTCTGTGGTATTACTCTAAATATCCAATGTCAGCAGTCACAACCACAGGAAAGGGAAATGGAAGGACTGCCCCAGCAGCTACCCAGCAAGGCCATTCCATGCGTAACTTGCAGAATGCACGCGGAGCGCCCTGGGATGGAGGGCGTCTTTCATTCCCTTGAAACACTAGACTCCTCAATGGTTCTGAGCATTCTAACCTCATGGTTCCAAGTTTGTATCTCCCTGACAGAAAACGGTGGACAAACTGATCAAGAAGACAAATATGGCCTTGGTCGTGGGGACCCATTCCTGGAGGGACCAGTTCATGGAGGCCATCACCGTCAGTGCAGGTGAGAGGGTCTCAGGATGGGCACAGGCCTTGCTTGGAGAAGCAGGTAACAGGAGAGGAATAAAACAGCCACATCGACAGCCTGCCAGTTTCTGGGAAGACCTCTGTGTCCGGTCTCTCCAGCTCTAGCCCAGATGCTTGTCTGTTTCACTAGGTCAGATTGACCAGTGGGACACCCCAGCTCATTTCCATTGGGGAGGAATCATGGGGCAACTAAAAGAGCAGGGCTATCTCTGGCTCAAGACCTGGTTCTGCCGTCCGAACTGGGACAAGTTATCCTATCTGGGCCTCAATTTTCTTATCCCAAAAGGGAACTTTTGCTACCTTTCTCAGAAAAGTCAGTAGACAGGTATCTCACTGTGAGGATAAGATCCACTGGTATGAAATATGGATATTTAGTCTAGTACTAACCACAAGCTCCATCAATTCTGGTTCCGACATTCCTTCCTCTCATTAATTTGGTCCTCGTTTTTGTAAAATGGACCCAGAGTTTTGTTCCAATTTTACCACTGAATTTTTGAACTTGAGATGTGGGATTTGGAGTTTATGACACTTTGCTTTCACTCTCTGACACATCTTTAACCCGGATGATCCCTTTCCTTTGGCATTTACTGACGGGTCCCCTCGGGGACCATAGTGCAGCCAGCGTCCCAAAGGCCCACCAGCCTGTTGGACTGGGATGCCAAGGCTCTCATCACCACCACCAATATAGCCTCTCAGCACCACTGAGGCCTCCTTGTACTGCCTTTTCTCTTTCATGAGACTTTGTTGTCATAGCAACCCATGGGGTCCTATCCCAAGGCCCCAGAGCCATTGCAAAGCACAGCCAGAAAGAGAGGGCTGCTGCTGCTGCGGCCGCTGGCCCACTTTCACCTGGCCTGCTTCTGAAGCTCCCAGTTCCCCCTCGGGTGACCTTACTTTGCCCCTAAAGAGACAGTACATGGAATCTAGGCCACACCATCTAACGCCTTCCCTTTTCAAAGGGAATGGAGGTTCAGAAACAAGAGGTGACTTACTCCAGGTTACAGATTCTCTCGTGGCAGAGTTGCAATTGGGACACCAGTGTCCTGACTCCTGCTCTTTGGAAACCCGGCTTCCATGGGCTGTGCCGAAGCATTACAGAGGTTGCCCTTGACACTCCTGCTCTTTGGAAACCCGGCTTCCATGGGCTGTGCATTACAGAGGTTGCCCTTGACGAGGCGCCAGCGTGCCTCAGCATATCCTCTGCTCCCGGGCTGCTGAATGGGCAAGTCTGCCCACGTTTCCTGGCAAGGACACGCGGAGCCCAGGCCCGCTCTGTCCCGTGGGGTGTTCGGAGGATGGCGCTGGCTCTCCGGTACGCCCACATGATCTGGAATGACAGCCGTCCCTCTGGGGACGGTTAACGACCAGAACCACGAGGTTACTGCAGCAGCCGTGTCAGGAGAATCCGAGAGGAGCCCCACTGGTGTCCAGTGAAGAGTGGGCGCACGGCTGATGTCACTTTTCCTCACCTAGGCAACCAGTGTAGCCCGCTCCACCCGCCTCTCTCCTCCACTGCCTTGCCCGCCTCGTGTCCTCCCCTGCTAGCTCTCAATCTCTTTCCTCTCTTGCTTATTCCTCTGAGCCCTGCATTCAGATTGACTAGTGGGACACCCCAGCTCGTTTCCCATTTCTCAGCTGTTTTCCGGTGCCCACGCCCTGGCCCGCGCAGGCTGCCCAGGAGCCTCCCCTCAGCTGACGGTGCTCGTGATGGGGGTGAGACTGGACTTTCTCAGGAATGCGACCTGACCTCGCTGCCCTCGCCTGGGCCTGTTTGTCTTGCCTCCAGCAGGGGACGAGGACGAGGATGAGTCCGGCGAGGAGAAGCTGCCGTCCTGCTTTGACTACGTCATGCACTTCCTGACGGTCTTCTGGAAGGTGCTGTTTGCCTGCGTGCCCCCCACGGAGTACTGCAGTGGCTGGGCCTGCTTCTTCGTCTCCATCCTCATCATCGGTGTGCTCACGGCCATCATCGGGGACCTGGCCTCCCACTTTGGCTGCACCATCGGCCTCAAGGACTCGGTCACAGCTGTTGTTTTCGTGGCGTTTGGCACCTCTGTGCCAGGTGAGAGTGCAGGATGCTTGGGTCTGCAAAGAGGACATCACTGGGCTCAAGTGACCCTTTGCCTCATTATCTTCCTTACCAGCTCAGATCTGAGCTTAACAGACCCTCTGCCGCTCAGGTGCACAGAAGCCAACCAGAGGTTAATGATGACATCACTAACGATAACTAACATTTCTCGAGCACCTTGATGTGTCAGGCACTAAGCAGTTTCCATGTTTTGTCCCTGTAATGCTCACCACAATCCTATTCAATAGGGACAGCTATTATGCCCATTTGACAGATGAGGAAACGGAGGCCCACAGGGGTTAAGTTACCTGCATAAGTGACCCAGTTTAGTAACCTCCACATTATATGAATAGACCGCAAACAATGTAATTCAAAGGATATGGAGATTGTTCTCCTTCCGTCTCCCTCTGGCAGTCCCTGAGAGGCTAAAGACTAGCCTGCTTGAAGGTGTCACAGTAGAAATTCCCACAAGTATTCTTGGCCTCCTCTGCTTAGAAGGACATCTGTGAGTACAAAGTGTCTTCCACCGGATCAGATGAAGGAAGCTTAGAACTTCTTTGCTTTCTCACAAACACCTAAAGGTAGACAGGACAGGCATGCATTTATTCATTCATTAGACAGATATTTGCATATTTGCTGATAGAGCCTTGTGCTAGCTGCTGGGGCTATAGTGGGAGGCAAGACACACACGCTTCTCCTCTCCACATGGACTTACAATCTAGTGACAGAGAGTACACTCAGCTCCTGTAATTAAAGTCATCTCGATAAGGTCTGTGAAGAGGAAGTACAGGTGCTGTGCAAGCATAAACGGGGAGTGGGGGCGGCGGGGGGGCGGGCGAGGCTGGGTCAGGGATGGCTTCCAAGAAGGGATATATGAAAGCTGGGCTGGGGTGACGAGTGGCATGAGCAGGGAGACGGGCTGCATTCGCTCAGGCTCCTTACTTGAACCCTGAACTCCTGCTGGCCTGGCAGTTGCTACAGGAAGAGAGAGCATCCTCTGTAAGAGGGGTAGGCTGAGTCTCAGCAGACAGGACTCTGCTGGTGGGATCAGGGGAACCGTCGGGACCAGGGAAACAAATCCTCTGGAGAGTAAGTGAATCTGCATCACACTCTGGCAGAACCTCTTCCCCACACCACAGCACAGACCAATGGGATTATTTACACATTGGTGATGCCAGAGGTCTGGCTATGATGGAAATGCATCCGGTGGTAGACAGTTAGATGGATGATCCAGGGAAGGCTTGTGGAGGATGTGCCTGGTGATCTCTGTTCACCAGGTCTCAAGGGACCAGAACTATTGGAGAGGAAAGAGCAGAAATGGAGGAAAAGGAACAGATGTGGGAAGAAATTGCCAAGGATCAGAGGCAAAAAGCAAGGTCATAGGTGAGCAAAGGCAAGAAGTCTTCTCTGGGAGCTCTGAGAAAAGTGGCGGCAAGGAGGCCAGCCAGGACAGCAGCGGGGGAGTGGGGGGCACTTCCAAGATCTTGCAGTTGGTCCAGGGAACAGCTGGCAGTGTTAGGGGCTTAAAGAAGGTTGTGCCATGGTCTCCTCAGCTAATTCTGTGGCTTTGGCTGAAACTCTTTGGATGTAAGGTGATGGTACGGGAGGCTTTTAGGATCAAATCTCTTGCTGATTTCCCATTTGACCTTGGGTAGATTCCTTGACCCTTATTTTCCTTCCTTGTAAAATAAAACAGTGGCTAGATAGTCCCTGACAGTCCCTCCAGGGCCTACCCTCCATGCCCACATCCAGGGCCCTGTGCTAGACACCAGCTGTGAAGGCTCACCTGCACGTCCCCATCGCGTCTCCCCAGTGTGTCCTCTGTCCCCATGAACCCAGCACCTGCAGTGCTGAGCCCACGGGCACTGAGCAATAAGCTGTCTGTGTTACGTGAGTAAAATGCCCCAGGTGACACTCATAGTCAGGCCTCTACTCTGAGCAGCTTCCCAGGATGTCAAGGTTCCCCAGGGAGGTATTATGGGATAACAAACTTCTCTTACTGAAAACAAAACAAAAAAAAATAGTCAAAAGGGAACAGCAAACCTACTTGGTAAACCTCAGGACCAGAAAGGCCCTTAGAAATCTCTCAGACTCCAACAGGTGAGGAATGGGAAGCTCAGAGAAGGGACGTGACTTGGCCAAGGCCACACGGCTTATTAGTCGCAGAGCTGCCTCTGCTTCCCGGGCTCGGCCCGCCGGCCCGAGCGGCCCTTTGGACAGAGGCAAAGGCAGGCCCGCCTTGTCTCAGCCTGCCTCCAGCTCCCATCCGTCTCTGCCCTTTTCCAGATACCTTTGCCAGCAAAGCCTCAGCCATGCACGACATGTACGCAGATGCCTCCATCGGCAACGTCACCGGCAGCAACGCCGTCAACGTCTTCCTGGGCCTTGGCCTGGCCTGGTCCGTGGCCGCCATCTACTGGGCCATGCAGGGAGAGGAGTTCCGCGTGTCTGCGGGCACGCTGGCCTTCTTCGTCACCCTCTTCACCATCTTGGCGTTCATCTGCATCAGCGTGCTCCTGTACCGCAGGCGGCCCCACCTGGGCGGGGAGCTGGGCGGCCCCCGGGGCTGCAAGCTGGCCACGACGGGGCTCTTTGTGAGCCTGTGGCTCCTCTACATACTCTTTGCCACGCTGGAGGCCTACTGTTACATCAAGGGGTTCTGAGCCACAGACACGGCCTCCAGCAGGGCAGGCCTAGGACTTCTCCTGAGAGAAGGGCACTTCCCCCCAGGGACCTCCCCGGATGAGCAGCCCTGGAGAGGCGGCTTCAGGACCCGAGCCCCAGGGACTTCACCCGACCTCCACCTGGCGGTGATCTGAAAGGGCAGAGTCTTCATCAATCAGACAGAACGGGGGAAACACCGACACTACCAAGTATTTAATTCAGTACAAACCAACAGCAGCAACACATCCACCTCCACCCATCTCCCCCCGACCCCCCTGTCCCTGACCAGTAGCCAAGGTCAGATCCTTTCACCATCTTCTATTTCACCTTCTGATTACTCCTATGCTTCTACTGTCATCAGGGCAGGGTTCCTCCTGTCTGTCCAATTCCATGCACCATTGTCCTCACTCACCTGGCGGGCATGGAAATAAGTCTCAGCCATGTGTGGCTGGTTTGGGGCTCTCTCTTCATTGGAATCATTATGGTGGCTGCTTTCGTTTTCCCGTCAGGTTTTGCTGGTCATTAGTTCATTTTGTCTTTTCTTTCTGATGTTAGTGACAAAGGTGCTGTGGAGGAACCCAAGGGTTGAGCCGATGGGCAGAGGCGTGAATTGTCAGACACAGGCTCTCCCACTCTCAGCAGGTGACAGCTGTCTCTCAGCCCCATCGAGGTCCTGTCCCCCATCTCCTGTTCGTCTCTGGGTGGAAGTGATCTTGCACACCCACGCGGGGCACCAAAGATCCGGGTGGTGGCAGGAGCAGGAGGCGTTTCCTCTGCTGATGTCACAGTTTAAAAGAAGCAGTCATCGTTCTCTTCCTTGCCCAGGCCTTTCAAATTCTGTCTCGTGCTGTCCATATCTACATGTCCTTTCTTCTGCAGGAGGGCCCACCCAACGGGAGAAAAGGGACAAAAATAGGAGTGGTGTGGGATGACAGAGGGCAGCTGGGGACACAAAGTGGGTGTTCACCTTGAGTATCTTTGGCTTTGTATCTGAGCCAGGAGACTCGGGATATCCCACTAGGGAGATACTTAAGGGGAAAGATATTTAAAATGCCAGTGATTCTGAGAAAGGTCAGCTTCACCCCCACCCCTCACTGTCCGAGGCACCGTAATAAGAGGTCTGACTGTATTTCTTGAGGAAATGCGAAAACGTAGAGGTTTATAAGAAGACAAGGGGCCCCTTTCACCTCTCCTGGACCCCGAGGCCACGTTTGAAAGCGTTTTCACAAGATAGGAACTGGAATTCCTCGCCACATTCCTGCTTGGTTTAAAACCTCCCGAAGCTCTCCTTCCAGCCTGTGGGCTACTTCTCATCCCAGTAGGAGGGATCTTAGTTGCCATAATCCCACGGAGCCCAAGTTTATAGAAAAAGAGATTGCCCTGCCCTCTAGAGCTTCTCCCAGCAAACTTTGAAAGGACCTGGCTTTAAATACACACACACACACACACACACACACACACACACACACACACACGAGATCACAAAACTGCCCACAGATCTTCAAGCTTTCTGCATTGACATAAATACATTTTTAAGGGGGGAAAATATTAAAAAACCTGTTTAATTTTAAACACATTTTTTTAAGAAAAAGAAATAACTAAAAAGAAACAGTGCTCATGTCATAAGCTATGTTGCCAGTTGCCAGTGGAAATGTTGGGTTGGTTTAAAAAAAAAAAAAAGCTATACTTATATCTCTCTGCATACAGCTTGCTTCTCCCCATGTTTCTTCCGGAGCAGGTGTGGCTGAGGTGAAGGTGCGTCTCCTCTTGGTATCTCCAGTGTGTGTCTGTCGTCTCCTCAGATGCCAATGTGCCAGACCTGGTGTTTTTAAAGCTAAAAGAACTTCGGGGATATTCCACTTGTCAGAGTCTAGACTCCAGGTGCTGGAGCACATAAGCAGTGGAGTTGCAGTGATGAAAGGGGAAGGAGCTTTTTGTATTAGAAAGGTGTGGAGGGGCAGGATTCCAGCGAGGCAAGTGGTGCCCTGTGTTCATTACCAGTAGGCCTACTCATTCATTTGATTGCTCAGCATTCATTCAACAAATGTGTTTCTGTGCATTGAAATTCCATTCTGTTGATGCAGGAAGAGAAAGATAAAGTTCCTGACCTCAAGAATCTCACAGTCCCGAGCGGGAGATAAAACTTCTTTTAACCAAAGCTCTTTTGGTTACAAGGAACCGAAACCCATTAAACTAGTTCAGGAAATGGAGGGAGGCAATATTGAGAAGACCTAGGGGGCAGGGCTCTGGCACCCAAGGCAGGAGGCATGGCAGGCCACAGGAGCCTGAAATCCTGTAGGGCCACTCTCTCCCTCCCCCAAAGCACATCGTCTCCCCATCTTTGCTTCCTTCTCCCTGTGGGCCTGGCCCCTCCCCTCCCAAGCTGCTTCTCTGCTTTGCTTGTCTTGCCCATGGTCCAGCACAGCCACCAGCCCAGCGCTCTATCATGACCTTACAGTCCCCATCCCCAAAGGCCATTCCCAGAAAGCAGAACCCTTTGTAGAAGGCTGTGTCACAGTGGTTGGGGTGCCTGTGCACTGGTCCCCTTGGGTCAGGCGTCTGCTCCTGGTCTGAACAGCTCAGGTAAGGGAGGCTGGCGAGTGCACTGTATGTTCTAGTGCCCTTTCCCAAAGCTAAGTGATGGGAAGGAGCTACGGAGCATATGAGCCACCAAGGTGCAAAGGAAAGTTAAGAGTTCTGTGTCAGGCGTGCTCTGAGGGGACACAACGGGGTGCCATGGGGACACAACGGAAGGAAACAATCTGCAACTGGGAAAGACTTTCTGGAGAAAGTGACATTTGCGTAGGTTCTTGAAGGAAGAATAGTCATTTGCCTTGGAGAGGGGGCTTGGTGTTGAAGGACAGACAAAAAAGGAAATAGCACAAAGGCATTATGGGGTGGGCGGGGTGAAATGGGATCAATAGTTAGCACGGCTAGGGTATGGAGTTCAACAGGACACAACCCAGCAAGGCAGGCAGGGAGGAGGATTTGGGTAAAGGCTTGTTTGACTTTTTGACACTCATTAAATTTAAAATGAAAAGTGCCCTTTAGTCAATTAAATGGTAGACGTAAAATTGTGAAATCCATTTGTACCCATATGTCCCCTTTTTGAGTCATTTTTGCAAGGAGGGAAGGAAGAGAGAGGGATGGAGGGATAGAATAAGAAACTGAGTCACAATTATGGAGGCTGCTATCATTTCTGGGTTATTCAGATGTTAGATTTCGTCAAAAGAGAAGCTGGGATGAACCATAGAGAATGGGAAAGGGGGTTCAGAAGAGGAAGCAGGTACTAATCTAGATGCCACCACTAACCAGTTCTCAGAGCCAGACTGGTGCCCTCTCTGCCCTGCTAGACCATGTGGCTTTGCTCCTGACATTGTTGTCCCTTCAATGACACCCTTAGCTTCTCCTCAAGGAGTTATCTCTCCGTAATACAGCCCCTCATGACACCTTTGTTTGCAAAGGAATGTACATCTCATGGCGCTATTTCTACCTCATTTCACTGCCTCAGCAAGTAGATTTTATTATACTTTTTCCTAAACTGCTCAGATTTTAGATACTGACATGACACGCTACTTACCATCACAGAACACACTCTCCTTCCACATTTAGTGGATTTTTTTTTGTTCATATATATCACGCCCCTCTTGTATACCAAATTAAGTGCCATTAAGAATACTAAGTTAAGGGTCTGACTGTACCACTAGCTAGGTGTCAGATCTGGAGGTCACAACTTACCGAGGTCCTGGACTGTTCATGCATGAGGATTAGAGCAGGTGATTTTCCAGGCTCCTCAGCACCAAAGTTCACTGATGATGCAGAGGAAGAGGAGGTGGAGGATGACTCACAGAGATTGAGCCCCGAGTTTGTACCAGGCACTGTGCCATGTACTTTACCCTCGTTGTCTCACTGAATCATCTTGGCCGCCCTGTGAGAAAGGATCATTAGCCCCATTTTATAGATGAAGAAACTGAGACTTGGGGTAGACAGGTGATTTGCCCAGAGTAGCGGCAATCGGAATGTGTACTTGGATCCATCCACCCTTAGAAACCAAACTCTAAACAAATGATTCTTCAAGTATAGGCCCCAGATAAGCAACATCAACATCACCTGGGAATTTATCATAAATGCAAATTCTCAGGCCCCACCCCAGACTCTCCAAACTACTAGGGATAGGTCCCAGCAAACAGTGTTTAACAAGCCTTCCAGGTGAATCTGATGCATGCTCATGTGTGAAGCCCCCTGTTCCAAACCATTATGCTCTACCACCTTTCTATCTTTCTCTGTCTCTCCCTTTCCTTCCCTATCTCTCTCTCTCTCTCTCATCATATTCATCTTATTACATGCTCAAATATGCAGATATCAATACTGCTCTTTAAGCCTCAGTGTCTATTGTATATCCAATTTTATCTTTAAATGTGCTAATTGTATAATTCTTCCCATATAAATATCTCAGTATATCTCAGACATTCTTTAAATGTTTTATGATAACTGCCCTCATTCAGGTTTGCAAGGTGTTCTAAGCCTTAAGGTGGTCACTCCAGTCCAGTAGAAGGAACAGGCTTGAGAATTATTACAGTATGGGTAGAAATATGTGCTAGGATGGATGATGTATGGACAGGCTGTAGGAGCCTGAAGCAGATTCTAAAGCAACATATAATGAACAAAGAAGTTGGGGATTCTTTCTAAAAGGAAGTGACACTTGGGTAGAGTTTCAGTCATGAGCCACATGAAAATTATTGCTATCGTGGTCTGTTTGTTTTCATCTTAGTTCTTTATTTAAACATCAAAAAGAAAATCTTTTCGCCAACTCAAAGACTTTAGTTGACTGTTCCCCAATGACAAATTAAGAAAAAGCCCTAATTCAAATTGTCACCATATTTCCTCCTGAGAGCTCAGGGCTATAGCTGAGGTGAGGACAGGGTGGCTTGAGAGCATCTGGTTGGAAGCACTGAGATGCAGACTGGGTGAGCCATATGCTGAAGGACCAGGCATCACTAGCTGGAGGCGGAAGACAGAGGAGGTGCACACCCCGGGCTGGTTAGCAATGCTGCCTGGAGAAGTGGCTGAGAGCAGAGAGTGGCTCAGTTGTGAAGACCTGGGTTCCCGTCCTGCTCTCCTCATCCTGGCAGGGTGACCTTTACTATGTCATCTGAGGTGCTGAAGCCTTGTATTTTTCACTCATTTACATAATTAAGATACTATTATCTACTTTAGAGTTTGGGGGGATTAAATATATAAGTGATGCATCCCACTGCCTGGCTTTGTGATCATGTGTTGTCATGGATGCTGCTGTTCCGGGAGGAAGCGTGAAATGTGAAGGCATTGAGCAGCATGTGACACAGGGGGATGTAACATGTGCAACTGGAAGAGAACACTCAATGTGCTGGCAGCGGGTTTAGCTGGACGTGCACCAGTGAAGCGTGTAATACCACAGCAATGAAATGTGTACATTTTGCAGGAAAGTGTGTATGGGAGGAGTGGTTGAGGATCAGGACCAGATCAAGATTAGTTTTGTGGGCTAAACTAAGCAATTGTATTTATCCTGAAAGCCATGGTATTAGTCTGCTCAGGCTGCCATAACAGAATAAGACAGACTGGGTGGCTTAGACAACAAAAAGTTCTATTTTCACAGTTGTGGAAGCTAGAAGTTCACCATCAAGCTGCCGTCAGGGTTGGCTTTTGGTTTAGCCTCTCTTCCTGGCTTGCAGATGGCCACCTTCTCACTGTGCCTTGGCTCAGGCATCTCCTCCTTTTTCTATAAGGACACCAGTCCTGTTGGTTCAGGGCCCCACCCTCATGACCTCATCTATATTATAAAAAGTCAGTGGCTGGAACGCCGGAACGCCGAAACGACCAAATGACCGGCCACCAGGAGGTGCATTGATGGGTCCCGCAGCAGTAGCTGCAGCGGCAGTGGCAGGGACTCTGGGTCTCGTGCTATCTTGCGCGCTGGGCCTCTAGTTTAACCATAATTACCTCCTTTAAAAGCCCGTCTCCAAATATGGTCACATTGGAATTTAGGGCTTCAACTTACGAATTTGGGGGGACACAATTCAATCTGAGCTGTCTGCATGAAGGGGGTGGTTGAGGTGGGGAATGAATGGAGTGGAGACCACAGGCCATATACAACTATTGATTGTTGTAGGGAGCAGATGATAGGGGGCCCTCGGGGTGGGAAGGAGGGCACAGGGGAAAGAAATGGGAGGGGAATTTACAGGACATGGTGATGAACTGAATGGATGGGAGGGAAGGACATAGGAGGAGGCAGGGAGGGCTCTGGGCTCCAGGCCCAGGGAGAGGCTGGCTGGTGCACCAGCACTGAGGAGAGGTGGGTGGAGAGTGTGTGTCAGGCTGGAGGCATATTGAGTTTCGGGGCTTGTGGGACACCAAGTGGAAGTGTCTGGGAGCCAGGACTCAGCAGAGCCCGGGCTGGAGGCTGAGACTGTGACAATCTCAGTAGCAGATTTCAAGTGCCGTCGAGATTCTCCTGATGGCTGTGCTGCAGGAGTGAAGAACCCTGTGTGATTGAAGCTATGAGGTTGGGGAGTGTATTACTGCAGCTTCTCCTGGTCTCTCCCGACTGGTTCTCACGAGGCCTTTAGCAATGTGCCCATTGTCTTGTGGGAGGATCATGGACCATTAGCCAGAGTCAAAGCTTTGGGTAGGAAGACCCCAGGCAAAGTGACCTTCACCTTATTA